AATCCCAGCAGTTCAAACAACTGGGGTTCAAACAAGGAGGACTATTTCCAAATCTACCAATTAATGATGAATGCCTTGATTTGGAATGCCATATCAGTTAATACTAAAAGAGCTTTTTAGAGGCTCATCTCAATGCATAGACAACATAATTTCTAGTTTATTCGCTTGATGGAACCAATGCAACAATCGAGGAAGTTGGAGAAATATAAGAGAAAGATTGGTTTTGTGCAGGAAATCTTCAATGTTTCCAATAAAATCTGGGCATTTGTGGATGAAAGTTTGATATTACAATATTGATGGACACGGATCAACAATTAACTTTGAGGCTATATAATACTGAAGATCATAAGGAGTTCATCCTTACTTTGGTGTATGCTAAATGTGATGCGATTAAGAGAATTGAGTTGTGGGATAACCTCTATGTACTGGCTGTAGAGATGTCATTACCATGGCTCGTTGGTGGAGACTTCAATGTAATTTGGGATGAGAGGAAAAATTTGGGGGTCTGCCTGTTCATATCAATGAAGTTGATGACTTTAGACATTATGTCAACACATATAATATCTTTGATCTTGGATTCAAGGGGAGCATTTATACTTAGAGGAATGAGAGATCAGAAGAGGATTGCTGTTACACCCCATGTTTTTGAACGTGAAAGTACGTCGTAAGTCAGTTGGTGTAAGCTTGAAAATGAGATCCTCTTTGAAAGTATATAACGTGATTTAATGATGTTACGTCCCATTTTTGCAGGCCTTTAAGAGTTATCATTTGGGGAGAAATATTTCTAAGGGGACATGTTGTTACACCCCGTATTTCAGACGTCACTGTCATTATATGATTATCTAATGTAAGCTCAAAAAGGACAAAATCCTTCTACAAGGATAAGAAAGGTTTACCGAAGTCTTAAGTAAGTTAAGATGAATATGAGACTTGTTAATAATGATTTAAATGAGTTTAAAGTCATGATATGACTCTATACGATGTTTGGATATGAAATATAAAGTTTGGGAAAATTAGATTTAAGTTGCGGAAAAACAGACCAATGATTTGCCTTGTAATAAAGCTTTTTTTGAGAAATACATTTCGTAAGCTTTATGATATCTTTTTGAGACATATTATATACAACATTTAAGGTCTTTGAGTATAGTTTCTAAATCATTTAACCGTTAGTCGATATGATATCAGAGTAGAGAGATATTCACGTTTTTGCGAGACTACGCAAGCAGCACCCATGGGACCCACAAAGTCGGGGGGAAATTCCAGCTTGTATTAAAGTCAATTCTCCGTCGTTTTAACTCATTTTTATGGTCCAAAACAGTTCCTAAATTCTCTCCAATGGTTCCTCCATGATTCTAGGTTGAGAACCTAAGATGAAAACATGAATCCAACGCTAGAAATCCCGCGGTGCTTGCTAGATCGTAGTTCTTCGTCTTGTGGCTGTTTTGGAGGGTTCTTCAAAGGTAAGCAACCTCAGATTTTATGTTTTTCTTGTTAATTAAGGTAATAATCACTCCCTCCTTCATATATATTATATTTTCAAGGCGAACTACAAGTGTTTACACATCAACTTGAACACCAAAAGTTGATTCAAGAAGAGAATACAACACTTATAGTGTTGCAGTATTATTGGGGATAATTGTGGGCTGTGATTGGATGAAATTTCATGTTGTTTCTACTGTTTAAGGTGAGTATAAAATCCTACTACATGTACTTGAAGTTGTTTGTGTGTTGGTTGCATTATTTGAGCAAAATACTACAAGAGGAGACTTGAAATAGTTTGAGATGTTATGGGTTTTAATGGGCTGTTTTGGAAAGGTTATTTCCATGAACTATAAATGACTGGAAAATGGGGAAAATAACTTGATTATGATATGGTTTCTATTTTTATGCATGTCTATATGTTTATTAAGTGAATTGGTGAAAGAATCATACGAAACTTGAGATTGGAAGTGAAGATTAGCGTACGTCACTTCTATGGTGTTGTATTGCCATTGAGGGCTGTTGTAAGCTAAATATAACCTAGATTTCGACTTGAAGCTACTGTAGGAGGTATTTATATTTTGTTCTTGCATGTGCTTAAGGTTATCTTGACATTGATTAAGTTAAATGGATGGACTAGACATGAATTAGTGAATATAGTTGCTAATTAAGGATAATTGGAGTTGTGGATTATTTTCTTTGTTATAAATATATGGTATAAGGCTAGAATCATTGATGAATGACTTTATTATCATGTTAATGATACTAGTAAGTTAAAGTAAGAAGTCTATAAGGGCTGATATGGGGTATACAGATTCCAATAGGGCTTGTAGCTAGTAGTGAAGTAGTGGTGACTTGTTGTTGTTATATGGTGTCTTGTTATTGATAATTATGTATTAATGGATTTCTCTGGTCATTGTTGTTGGTATATGGTATTGGAGAAGACTCTTGTTACAGGGGAGATGCTGCCAAATTTACATAAACGAGCTGCTAGTTTAAGTTGCGGACTTAGCCTTTACTCGACACTGATTTTGAATCTCCTTATGCTATGGTAGATTGAGTTGTGTTGTTTGAAGAATTGCTTGGAAGGTGTTAAGGACTCAATGGAGTTAAGGTATGTTAAGGATATGCATTCTTTCCTTTTGGCATGATCCATATGATAAAAACGAAACATGCAAATACAGAACTTTCATAAATGACTTTATTCATAGAAGTACTAGGGGTGCCTATGTTCTTGATTCCCCATGTGTCCTATTATTATATCTTCTGTTCATGGGTATTAGAAAAATAAGTAAGTTTCTAAAGTTTATCCGAAGGTATATTGATCTTATTGACATTTCGATAAATCTTATTGACTTACTTCATTATGCATTGCATTCATTCATTTATACATGTACATTGACCCATTACCGGATGACGTTATATATGCGCGTATATATATATATATATNGTACTTTATTTGTACTAACGTCCTTTTTGCCTGGGGATATTGTGTTTCATGCCCGCAGGTCCCGATAGACAAATTGAGAGTCCTCCTAGTAGGCTATCAGCTCAACGGAAGGTGTTGGTGCACTCCACTTGCTCCGGAGTTGCCTATCTGGTCAGTATGATTTGGACATGTATTGATTGGTATAGCAGGGCCATATCTCGAACTTTATGACATTTATATACTCGTAGAGGATTGTAGACAGATGTCATGTATATGGATACTTGTATGGCGTTGTCAACCTATGTTTTGAGCATACAAATGATCATGTCGGCCTTATAGGCCCGTATGTCGCATGCATAAGCTTCTATATCATGTTGGATCATCCCATGTCAAGTATTCTCTTATGTTTAATTCTAGTTATCTATTGACGGTCTTTTTGGTTCATTTACCTATGACAATATGATAAGAAATATACGTTACGTTGGTACTCGGTTGAGTTAGACACCGGGTGCCCGTCGCGGCCCTACGGTTTGGGTCGTGACAATTGCATATTCAAGAGATTAGATAGGTGCTTGGGCAATATGGAGTTACAACAAATGTGGCCAGGATTAGAGATAGATCACTTGTCCAAAATAGGCTTAGATCATAGTCCACTGCTGATATCATGCAACCCTAATGCTGCTCATATAAAGAAATCATTTAGGTTTCTACATTTTTGGGTCAGGCATGAGTCTTTCAAAGATGTAGTGAGGGAGAATTGGAATGCAGATATTTTTGCTAATCCATTTACACTTTTCAACTACAAACTGAAGAAGGCAAAGAAGGTACTCTCAACTTGGAGCAAAACAACATATGGTGATATTTTTCAGAAGATATCAAGTTTGGAGGAGGTTGTGAAGGTTCATGAAACTCAGTTTGAACTAAAACCTACGCTGCAAAATAGGAAAAGACTGCAAAAAATACAAGCTGACTTATTCAAAATTTTGGCATTAAAGAAGGAATTTTGGAAGCAGAAGGCTGGCATGACTTGGTTTCAAGATAGAGATAGGAACACTAAATTCTTTCATGTGCAGGTTAATGGAAGGATGAAGAGATTTCAATTGAAAAGGATACAAGATAGTGATGGAAATTGGATAGAAGATACTGCCTCTATAGCTGAGGAGGTTGTAAATTTCTTTCAGGCACAATTCAAAGAAGACATTGTCCCTTCTTCTTTTGGTATTATTGATCATATACCACGCATGCTAGAGGATGAACAAAATCAAGACTTAGTAAGACAACCTTCTGCAGAAGAGGTAAGGCGGGCAATATTTGGCTTGAGTTGAGAGAGTGTTGGAGGTCCAGATGGGTTCAATGGTAGCTTCTTTCAGGCTTTTTGGGATATTATTGGAGGAGATGTGATCGAAATGGTGAAAAATTTCTTCAATGGGCAGGAATTACCTAGGTATGTGACTCACACAAACTTGGTGTTACTTCCTAAAAAGAAAGAGGCGACAACATTTTCAGATATGAGACATATTAGTCTTAGCAACTTCATCAACAAAGTGTTCTCCAGAGTCATGCATGAGAGGTTAGTTGGTCTTCTTCCTAACCTTATTTCAGATGCGCAAGCAGGTTTTGTGAAAGGGAGAAGTATTGTTAAGAATGTTTTACTTACACAAGAAATCATCACTGATATACGACTGAGAACAAATGCAGGGCCTAATGTTGTGATAAAACTTGACATGACTAAGGCATATGATAGATTATCATGGTTATTCTTAACCAAGGTGTTGAGGAAGATGGGATTTTGTGAAAGATTTATTGGATTGGTGTTTGGCATTGTATCTAACAACTAGTATTCTGTTCTACTCAATGGCCAGCCTTATGGGTTCTTCAAATCCACTAGAGGAGTTAAAAAGGTGATCTATTATCTCCCACTCTATTCATTCTGGCAGTAGAAGCTTTATCAAGGGGTTTAAATGATCTTCATTTGAACATTTATTTTTGTGTCTTTGGTTTACCTAAGTGGAGTCCTAAGATCAATCATCTAGCTTATGTATATGATACAATCATTTTTTCATCATTAGATGATACCTTACTTCAATTAATTATGGAGGTGTTGAGTGCATATGAGGTAGCTTCTGGGCAGTTGATAAACAAGTCTAAATCAACAGTATATGTGCACCTTTCTACTAATGATGACGCGGTGAGGAAGGTACAAAGAATCACTGGGATTCAAAGACAAGATTTTCCCTTTACCTATCTTGGTTGTCCAATATTTTACTCAACAAGAAGGATAAATTACTATGAAGGGCTTATTAAGAAGATTCTGGATCAACTACAGTCTTGGAAGGGTAAATTGATGTCCATGGGAGGAAGAGAAGTATTGATCTCTCATGTGCTACAAAGTATGACTATTCATCTTCTCTCAGCAGTGAATCCACCAGCCTTTGTGATAAACAAACCGCTCAAGCTATTTGCCAGATTTTTCTGGAGTAATTCAATTGATGGAAGAGCTAGACACTGGGCATCTTGGCCCAACCTTTCCTGCCATATGAAGAAGAAGGTGTATGGTTTAGGTCTTTACATGGTGTGTCTAAGGCCTTATTCTGTAAACTATGGAGGAACTTTCGTACTAAACCTTCATTATGGAGCTCTTTCATGAGCTAAAAATATTCTAAAAAGTTCAATGCTTTGATTGTACCTTGGAGAGATGGCTCTCATGTATGGAGAAAAATGTTGGAATGCAAGGATCTTATTGAACATCAGATCGTGTAGCAACCTAAGATGGGATCATCTCTATTCTGGTTTGACAATTAGACAGGGTTAGGTGCACTGTAATTTGTTACACCCCCAGACTTCTTTTGTGATGAATCTATTCATAATGTTTATGATGTGGTACACGAGGGGGAGTGGAATGAAGACATTTTGAGAGTAGTTCTGCCATAAGACTTAGCTACTCACATTTTGGAGAATATCAAACCTCCAATTATTCTTGAGGTTCTTGATAAGCCATGTTGGAGCTTAGAAACTAGAGGAGATTTTAGTGTAAAGTCAGGCTAGATTTTCTAAGAGTAGGAGGGATTCAACAATTTCATACAAGAACATGTGGGTGAAAGGACTTCCTTTCAAAATATCCTTTTTCATGTTGAAATTATGGAAGTGTAAGCTACTATTGGATTATGCGTGGAGAAGGATGGGATATTTTATGCCTTCTAAGTGTTGGTGATATGTGAACCCAGATCAAGAATCAATGTCTCATGTCTTCTTCGCATCATATGCAGCTAAAAGGGTTTGGTCATATTTCTTCTCGTTTGCAGGTCTTGCATTGGAGGGTTTAAGCTTACACCAAGCTGCGGTTAAATGTTGGACTGCACAGGTAATTCCTAGACTGAATCCAATCGGCACTACATTGCATAATTGTTTAGGAGCTATGGAAGAGGATAAACATTTATAAACATGGTGAGGTGGTATTTATCAATAGGGTGGTATATCAAGTGTCTATTACTTTTCAAGATCTCATTAAACTTAGGAAGCAAGCTTGCGTAATGTCCCCCCTATATGCTTCAGTTAATGGAAAATTACACTCCCAGGTTAAAGGTTGACAAGGTAATCTGGAAATTTTCTAGTAGAGGGTGGATTAAAATTAACACGAATGGGGCAGCAAATAGTAATCCAGGCATGAGTTCCTTTGGTTTCTGTCTAAGAGATGAATATGGTGATATTATATATGCTCGAGGAAAGGAAATACATGAGGGTACAAACACAGTAGCGGAGGCAATGGCAATCCAAGAAGCCTTGAGATATTGTATTAATCATGATCTAGCCAATATTTGGATACAAACAGACTCAATGTTACTTAAAATGTCATTGATGGAAGTTGGAAGCCACCTTGGATTATTAAAGAACATATTGTGGAAATAAGGAAGATGCTGGAGTTGTGCAATGGTAGGATCTCACATATCTTTAGAGAAGGGAATAAATTGGCGGATCATTTGGCCAATCATGCACTGGATTTTGGGGATATTGAGTGTCATGAGTTTCATCATCTTGACACAACTGGGAGAGAATTGTGAATGTGGATAAATTACATGTCCATACTTGAGAGTCAAAGTTGCAAGGAGTTAGGGGGCATGGAGAAAAGGAGTACAAAAGAGGAGGAGAAGGCTTGGGGCATCACTACTATCCACCTTATTCAAGTCCTTTTGGAGGAGAATATGGAGGTAATTTTTTTGACTAACCATATTTTTTTTTTTGCAGGAGATGTTACTGTATCCATGCCTTACTATTTCATACAAATTCAATGGGCGGCATTAGCAATTGATGCTCATTCCCTTGAAGGAGTATAGATAGTAGACACAAGCATGGAAGTAAGGAGGACCTTTAGTGTACTAGGGTGTAAAATAATAGTAACCACCCTAGTGCTCCAGTCCCTAATACAAGTAACTCTCACATGAAATTACAAAGAAGGGACAAACAATACTAGAGATGCAAGAGAAGACTTCCCAGAATTTTGATCGAGACATTCACGGGTGACTGAGACTTTTGGTAGACAAAAAAGGGATCAAGAGTTGCATTGTGGAGTAAATCCTCAATGCATTTCAGTAATACTACATCCCAGAAATGGTGCCAAACAAAGAATTCATCAGCTAGAAAATCATACGATTTGCACACCAAACAGTGCAGGCTCACTTACGTGCACAGTTGTTGGACACTAGAAGCAATGAGGAATGCGGCCACACTGGACTTATTTGGGGGAGAACTACCAGCTACATCTACACTTGGAGACTTCATACCTTGGTGTATATGCTGGGACATCAAGGTTACAACCAAGGATTAGCTCCGAAGTTTGGAGGACAACTATTACATGTAACAGGAGTGTCATGCAAAAACCTTTATGGGCGTGTGAATACGAGGTGCCAAGTATGCTACTATGGTTGTGTACTACCTATATACAACATGGAGGACATATTGATCGAGGTTTCTCGAGCCACTTACCACTATAATTTTGGATAATGCTAGAGCAAATAGGTGCCTACACTAAGCGAGGAATGCTGCCTAGATTGCTTTACTGGGCAGTGTGGATAGATTATGCATCCATTACATTCATTGGGCTAGTTTTTACTCATGAATATTATTACTCAAGTAGATCTCTTATCCAGTCTTCGGTTAGTTCAAAATGTACTATCAAGGTTGAGTATCTTTTACTCAATTTTGATATTAGGGGATATGTAATCGTCAAAATTTTATTAGCTACACTTTGTAAGACAATACACTAATTTGTTTTTATTTTCATTTTAGATATATATGAAAACTAGCCCTATAGGCACCTTGCCTAGTGAATTTGCTTAAAAATAAATAATTCTAAATTCCTATTTTCTCAATTTAACACTAGCAACAATCGTCTCCCTCAGCAGTAAACTCTTCAAAGTTCAAACATGGATTTGGTCAGACATGGATTGCATGTCACATGGATTTTTCTACGAGATAAGGATATTTGTTTGTGCATTAGTTAACTAAATTATTTTGCTCGTAAAAGATATTTTTTCTTTCAATTGAGTCGTCGATATATATTTTTTATCCATACCGCATACTTATTTACTCTCCCTTGTACTGGATATTGCATGTCATGTAGATTAAAAATATTATATAAATAAATCTCGACCTAAATTTTATCTTATCTCTAATTTTCTACTTCTTTTTTTTATTGTCTATTTAATTTGGTCGATAAACCACTCGATAATCGCTATACGCCCGATATCTTATTGGTTGACTAGCGGATTACTATATTTATAAACTGATAAGTCGAACCGTTAAGCATAAATACTAGCTGACATAATTAGTTTTTTTTTTAAAAATTTATTTAAGAAAAAAGACCTTTGGTGTAATAATTTTTGAAAGGTAATACTAAAACCCTATCCATATCCTTTCCCTCTCAAAGACAGACATTGAAGCCCTATTTGAAAGATATTAAAATGGCTTAAAAGTGGAAGAGAGCTCTTCTCCCCGTATTATAATGTCAATACCTGCAGCTCAAGCTCTTGTCTTTAGAACCCGACTCAATTTTCATCGTCCTCTCATCTTCTGCCTTCACAAGGTCCTTACTTTTTTTCACATATTTTGTCTCTCTATGAAACCAAAATTTCATTTTTAGCACTTCAAGTTTTCTACTTTCACTTGATTTCAGGTCCGTAGGAGCAGTTCTATTGCTGCACTAGATGTTGCACCGCTGGTGGATCCGGTATTAGTATTAAAGAATCGATCCCATAATACTTCAGATGTAAAGGGTAAAAAAAATCTTGACATTAAAGTTCCAGTTTTTTTCTTTTCTTCTTTGAGTTACATATAGCGAATTGACATTTTGGGGTGTTAATTTTGATTGAAATAGGTGACGAGAATGCACCTAAATGGAAGAAATTGAGTTCAGAAGAACTTGGAATTAGTACCTCAATGATTGCAAAGCCTACAAGAGTGGTTCTGAATGGGCTAAAGAAAAAGGGTATGTGCTAAAAAAATGATTATTTGATTATCTCCTTACAATCTTGATTTTTGGAAATAGTAAATGGTAATACTTGTTTAGTTGGGGTTTTATGATATTCTTTGATATAAAGTTAGTCCAATCGCACAAGGTAGAAAAAGATGTGAGAATTTTTGAATTTTGACTTTTTAGGTATGTGCAATCCCCACCAATAAATTAATTAATATATTTATGTAGTAATTTGTTGCAAATTGTGTCTTGCTCTTTGTAGCATGATGATTTTTATTTCGCCTTCTTACTACTATCACCTTTTTACTCTCTTTTCACAGGGTTTGAGGTCTACCTTGTAGGAGGTTGTGTTAGAGATCTTTTATTGAACAAAACTCCTAAAGATTTTGATATAATAACGTCAGCTGAACTTAAAGAGGTAAGCTGCACCACATTTTTAATTTTTAATTTTGTGAAGATTGTTCTATAGATAGGAAAAAGAGGAAAGAAAAATTATCAATTTGGGGTAGCTAAGGATACCCTTTTTTTTGGGTCACAAAATAATTCTCGTATGACATCTTATGGCTTACATCTCAACCTTCTATCTTAAATTTAAGTGCTTCTAACTAGTAATGAAATTCTCTCATGTTCTGTTTAAAATTGAAACTTCACTTCATCTTTTTAATGTAACTTTTATGGCAACCCGGACTTTTATTGTTTCCAGGAAATTATTAGGCACTAATTATGAGCATAGTAGGGTTGTTAACCAATTTTTGTTTTTATGGGTACTGAGTAGAAACTGTTTTGATTTCTGGAGGTTTGAACACATTGTTATTTAATGATGGAGCCATTTTTTGGTAATTTGGCATACAATCAATCATTTGCAGGTACTGAAAACATTTCAGCGATGTGAAATTGTTGGAAGGAGGTTCCCTATATGCCACGTGCATGTCGATGATACCATTGTGGAGGTTTTTCTCGGGCAACATCTTTTTCTTGGTTTGACATCTATTTTTTTCCTTATTTAGTAAAGTAGACCTCCTTAGACTGGTGAAACGTTTGAAGTTATTTTTTGGAAGGGCCCATTTGGGAAATATTTGGTTGAATTTGAAAACACGAACATTTGAAGTTGAAGTTGAAAAAAGTATTTGGAAGTTGGTGTTTGGATATGAGTTTTGCTTGGAAAAAAATTGAAGTTT